TGTGCAATATTGTGCCCCCACCTCCCACTGTGCAATATGGTTTGCTTTACTAAGCCATATTGTTCCTCCTCCCACCAGCTGGGCACTATTGTCCCCAACACAAGCTTTTTGGCACAGTTTTTTCCACCCACCTAATGCTGAGCACCAATGCTCCCATCTACCACTGACACTGGTATTTTCGGAAAATTCATCTGAATTTTGATTCGGAACTAAACAAATCGCACATGTCTATTACGCAAAGAGAAGCGTCCCACTCATCTCCAAGGCAGGGCTGACTGTTGAAATCCCCCCTTGCATTCTCTGTGACCTGTTTCAAGTGGCATATAAGACCATATCTCTGATGTCAGCCTTGGTTGAGGGAGGGACAGGACATGTGGGCAACGTAGTGAAGTTAAAATTGCTCTACTGGGCAGCAGTTTTGTTATTGCACCACTGTGGATTATCAAATAATGATAGATTATCCACACCCATCCTGCTGGGCTCCCCTGTCCATGGACCCCATACAGTAGCAGTCATCTGGGCTGCCATGTCTCTGGTTACACCCTGTTTTTCTATGTTGGCGATGAAATGAATCCCTTTTATAACCAAGCAGATGTCTTCTTCTCGCTTGCATAGTCCTAAGGATGATGCATTCGTATAATGTTCTTTATAATAAACTGATCTTTATTGATCTTTAAATTGATCTATCTTTAACTCCATATGACTCCTTCCTCGCGTAGAACCTTCACAGTCAACACCAGCTTGTAACAGAAGGACAATCTGTTTTGTCCAGCATTCTTAAAATAGACAGGAAGCTGGTTAAATATACTAAGTTACAACAAGCATTTGCAAATTACTACGGTTCACTGCCCGCGTGAGTCATCCCTTTAAAAGGAAATGTACAAATATACCTAATTTCTGGGTAAGGTTAATATTAACTTTGCTGTTACATAGTAGTGATTAAAGATAAAGCGTCGTGTAGGTTCACTGATTGTAAATCTGATATGTTACTGCAGTTTTTAACGTAATCATTTTTTATGACTCTCATATTTTTATAAGTTTGCTTTGCTGTATTATTGTTACTGTGTTGGAAAAAAAGAAACAGTTGGCAAATGACCCACTAGTGGGAGCAAATGCTTAATGTGCAATCATTCTGCTTCCCTTCTTAACAACTGTTGACAAAAGATCTCAGTGCATTGTTTTCGATGTGTTAGCCAACCATTGGGCAGCACTGCAAAGCACGAAGCAAAGCCTGTGTATCCCCCATATGCATATAGAACTACAATTTATAAATAGTTACAGGTTTAACAAAAACATTAAAGAGTTAGGCCTGAAGCAAAAAAAAAAAAAATAGAGGGAGGGCGTACATGACTAAGTGAATTGGGGAAACAATGATTAAAGAGTTAATTAAGGGATGGGTCAACAAGGAGCAAGGTCACTTACCTTATTGGTCAGGTACAAAGTCCAGGCGGAGCTTTTGCGGTGGTCTGAGGAGGAGGGTCTCGCTGGAGTTAGTCGGAGATCGTCGGATGAAGAGAGAACTTACCACCCACCCGCCCGAACGCTTTGTTTGTGGTCAGTTACTGCCATAGCAGTGTTGGCGTTTTTTGGGGTCTTTTGAAGGCGGAGAATATAGGTGATGGTGGTTAATGTTTGGAGACCTGTCTTGGTATGGGTCCTCAAGTCATGGTGCTATATGGTAGTCGAAAAGGCAATTGAGATATGGAGGTGTCTGCGGTCGATGTCTGCGCTGTGGTGCGGCTGGGGGCCTAACTGATTCAAGGGGTTCCGCAGAGACACCATATCTGGTAATAATTTGGGCCTTCAAAAGACCTTAAAAATCTCATGGTGAATTGTTCCAATTTCTGTGAAGTTTAATATTGTTAATTTCTATAATAATAAAAGGCTGCTATGGCCATTCAACTCCATAAAAAGTGTGGTCTATTTTATCGTGTTGAAGAGGGAGATTGGTGGTTCTAGTAGTCTTTGTAATTAGGGAATTGGGACATCGGTTCTACATTAGTCATGACCTTGTCAAAAAAATTAAATTGTCCAAACACTTTTCCTGCAGAGGAGTTAATACATCTCCCCTGTTGCACCCCTCAACCGCCACTCTGTTTAAGAGAAATCTTCCTCTAAAGCCTGTGTTGATCTTCTGTGTCTCTCCGCTGTGCTCACTGGCTTCTCTTGCCAACCTCCATGTCACTACTGTGTCCTCCAGTCATCACATCAGTGCCGTTCTTTCCATCATTGAGGCAAATAGGACCCTGCAAATCAATGGGCCAACCCATAAATATCTGGATCAGGTAAGTAAATAGAAAAAATATAAAATATACCCTGTGGGATTCCATATGGGGAGGGAAGGGGGTGCCCAATATCTGCTCTCTCAAATAAGCAGGCTGGGGTTGTGTTTAAAGCAGACACATAAAACATTGACCATTGCAGTGGGGCTACTCCTTCACTTCAAGGGCTCAGTGCTGGTTTTGGCTAGGGAGCTGAAAATAAGTTATGCTCACCTGAACCGTGATCCCGGTTGGCCCCCACGCCGCTCCCTCCAGCATGTCTCCTCCACTCCAGCAATGGTATGGCACTTGGTATCCTCACATTCTATACACTGTATAGAACGTGATGGCTCACAGGCCTTATACTGCTGGAGTGGAGGGGGAGCAAGGCTGGAGTGAGGATCTCGTTTCGGGTGAGTGTAAGTTTGTTACTTTAGCTCCCTAGACAAAATGAGCACCTAACCTTAACCCTTGCAGTGCGATAGTAGCTCCACAATATCCTATCCTGCAAGGGATAAGATATTATTTTCCTGGAGTTCTGCTTTAAATCATGCATACAATCATGCATACCATCTGACTCAAAGTTCATACCAGGTATTCTGCAAAGGCTGCATCAAAGGAAGGAGCTGCAAGGAAGCACAGTGAAGGTGAGTATGAGTTGGTTGGGGCTGTCTGTTCCCAGGGCCGGATTTACCATTAGGCAGAGTAGGCACATGCAGGTACCTATTCTGCCTAATTCCTGGTCTTGTGTCAAGATACAACACCAGCAGTAGCAAGGAGGGTGCATTCTGCCAAAATGCACCCTCTTGCTCCGAGACCAGTAGCGCCTACAGGGACCACCAGCATCTGCAAATGCAGGTAAAGGACCCCGTGCTGCGTAAGGCTGTCTGATGAGGACAGGCATTCAGGCATTTAGGGCAGTCCTTCGTGACACCGGGGCCCTTCATATGTGAAAGTGGACGGATCCTGCCAACAAGTAAGCAAAACAGTAAGTCACCAGCACTCCAAAGGTTCTCCAAGCAAAGCAAAGGAGTGCACAACGCAGCAAGAAAGGGGGTGCCGGCTCAGGCTAAACAGGTTTCCATTCATGCCTACAGGCACCCGAAATGGGAATCGGCTCTTTCTGTTGCATTTGCTGCAGAATGTAAGCTTCATGTTGGATGGAATGCTTGATTAAATCACACCCCCAGACAGTGGATTGAACCATGTGTTAGAAGCGGAATGCTGATGTGGTCATCCTCCTACTCACTCTTCTCCTGGCTGCATATATAACCTGATTAGCTCCACATGCTGCCCCTCCTTTTTACTGTCTGAGCTCTGCTGTATCAACACAAATTACACTCGTTACATTTTAAAATACATCAAGTTTTGAAAAAACGATGTAGCTGAATTAATTGATGTTTGCTTTTTTTGTATTTGTCTAGAATCCCACTTTATAAAAACTGCGCAGACATAAAATAAAATCTCCAGACATAAAACACGACGCAGCATTCATTTTTGCTAGAAATAATTTGGTGCTAGAAAACGTTTCATAAACTTTGTGTCCGTCTAGAACTCGGATGGAATGTTCTTTTCGTAAAAAGCTCACTCTCTCTGTGAACCTTGACTGTGTTTACTTTATCGTACTGCGGCAACCTCATAGTAAGCAAGCCTAATAAAGAGACCCATTCATACTCCTACATGAACTGCGTCCAATTTTCCCAACACACTGGCTTTTTTCATGCACAAATAGTTTTTAAATTGTCCTTCAGCACTGCAGCGTGCGCTCAGCTTCATACAAATGGGCACACTGGAGGTCAGTGTGCTATTAATCTTTTGCTGCTTCTTAAAGCTGAGCTCCAGGCAAAAAGCTAAATACACACAAATACATTCAATATATGGGAACTGTTTATGTCCGTCAAGTCCTAATATATACACAGCACTGCCACTCTGCACAGTCTAGTCTGGCAGGGCAGGAGACCTGATTTTATTCTGCTGAAGTTTGGTAACACATACAGGTCTTGTCCCACTCCCTGCCTGTGATTGGACAGTGAAAGGAGAAGCAGTGGACTGATGAGCTCATCTGGCTGTCACTATGTTCTTTCCTCCTATCAATATGTCCATTGTTAGCAATTGAGCACTGTAATCAAGGCCTTCTATATAACGAGGCATCTCATTGGTTCACATGGGGAGGGGGGTGGTATGTGTGCCTGCTGCTCCCTTTCTGGCCAGGGAGAGTCCCAGAGCTCTTAGCAACCTGGGATGCTCTTGCCGGCATTTCGCCCAGCTCACTGATGTCACTATTTGCCAGGAGCTGAGCAGGACGCTCTGGCTGGCGTCCCGCCCAGCTCCTGCATGGCAACCAATGATGTCAGTGAGCTGGGCAGGACCCCGGAGAGAGCCAGACCCAGAGGTAGATGCAGACCCCCCCCCCAGTTAACATTTGTCACCAGCTGTCCCCAACCCCCGAGCCTCAAACCCGCCCCCCCGTCCCAGGTGGTAAAATACTGTAGCAACACCCCTGACTGTAACACAACTGATTGGTTTATTGTGCTGCTTCTTCCTCTTCTGCAAAAGGTTGATGCCAAGTCAAATTCAAATAATAAAGGATGTATTAATGAACACAGAGCTGCATGATTTTGTCTGTTTTATATCTGATGGAATTTCAGCTTTACACTTTATATATTAGCTTAGGAAAACAAGTTTTATTGAGTAATTGAGAATTTAATGCATTCAACTTTTTGGTTTTTGTTTCTTCAGAATGAAGAATAAATTTTGGTACTTCGAGTTTGGTACGTCTGAAACCTTCTCTGCAACATGCAAGAAACTGCATGAAGCAATTGAGATAGAGGTAAGTTATTGGAGACTTTAAATCATTCACTGCAACATACGGTCAGTGCATTTTTGGGGTGAAACATGTTCAGTTATGAAAATATTAAAGCTTTCAGGAATATAGATGTTTTCAAAGGAAATTAGTCTGTTAAAGGGTCTGAGGCCAGAGGCCAGCCAAAGCTATATTTTAGTTATGTGCAGATGCTGGTGACTCATTCCACTATTAGTTTATACACTATATTGACAGAAGTATGTGGTCACCCCTCCAAATTATTAAGTGCACCATCCCCTTGCCCCCTTGAGGTCAGGTGGGCTGACATCTCGCCTCAGTCGTTGACTTTAAGTGGTGTTATGTAGAGATGGTCACAGTCACTTTTAAACAGTTGAGCTAAGTTCAGAGGAGTATCTACAAAGAAATTGCGCCCCTTGCGCCTGCCCAGCTCCTGGCAACTGGTTATGTCACTGGTTGCCAGGAGCTGGGTGGGATACTGTCCAGTGCATCCCGGGTTGCTAAGAGCTTGGCGGGGAGATATGTAAGGGACATACACATCTTCCCACTTGGCTCTTAGCAACCTGGGATGTTCTGGCCAGTGTCCGCCTCACATACACAAAAGAAAAGAAATAGACACCAGCACTCCAATAATAAATCGATTACGTCTATTTATTGACGTACATCAAAAGCAAAATAACACACTTAGCGCTTCACATACACATCTCCCTGGCTGCTCTGGTTGCAAAGAGCTAGGTGGGAAGATGTGTATGGCACATCTCCCCACCCAGTTTTTAGCAACCTGGTGCAATCTGGCCTGTGTCCCGCCCAGCTTCTGGCAACCAATGAGATCACTGGTTGCCAGAAACTGGGCAGGACACCAGTTAGAGCGTCTCTGTTTTGCTAGGAGCCGGGGGGTGTGTATGGGAGAGAGATGGGGACAAAAAAAAAAAGTCAACTGTCTCCATGGGTCGGAGAACTTTCGCTTACCCAAGGAGTAGCACCTCCCCCTTCAAGTGGCACCCAGGGCATGTGTCATATGTACCATACCCTGGATACGCCACTGGTTGAGTTTATTTGCCAGTATAAACTCAAGGGGAGAGGGCATGGCACAGGACACCTCTAAGGACATGGCAGACACCAATGAAAACATACTCACAACCTTCACGGGTAAAGGACCAGACTGGCATCCTGTGAATAGAGACACTTAGCTGTACTAGTCCATACAATTTTATCTTTTTGAGTAAGACGCCAACATCATATAAGATTCAAGCCCACCTCTGGCTTATCAGGCACCTCCATCCAAAGTGAGGCAAAATAGTGAAAAAAGACTTTCATGCAGAGTGGGATAATTCACAAACCAATTTTTGCATACTAAGAGCTCCACCAAAAAACAAGCTAAGAAATATGAAGAAAAATAAAGGGACTAGATGGCCATCAGAGGGTATAAAATGCTTTAAAAAGTATTAAAACGATTTTTTGCTGAAGGTCCTATAGTCCCTTTACTTTTCTTCATATTGCTTACCTCCAGCCGAAGTACCTTCTTGGTGTATCTTCCCAGGTTTAGGCTCCAGTTTACCAGAGAAACCAATCCAGCAAGGCCGTGGTAGCCTAGGTCTCAGTAAAATGTCACATTTGCTATCCCTAGGCAGCAGGCCTAAGAGGATGAGACTTTCATCTCACACCCTCCAGTGGCAGGAGGCCTGTGGGGACGAGAGCGTCCCGAGGTTTTCCCAAATATTTTTACCCTATCCCAGCTTGCTCCACTGGCAATAAATCTCCTAGTGGTTGGCCAAGGGTATATACATATTCATAGCATTATTGTATATTCTTGCCCTATTTCCAGGGACACACCCCAGCAGCAGAAAAGAAGCAAACAATAACACTGAGCTCAAGGAAACGTGTGGAAAGCAGGACTATAAATTTAGCTTAGGCTTTGATTACAGCCCAGCAAGGTAAAATTTAAAGAGTCACTCCTGTTTTGGGTGAAGGGTACTGTTAATGCTTCAGCATAAAAAGTCCTTTTAGACAACTGTGTACTTCTAGGCTTGAGGCAAAAGTTTGGAAGACCCTATTCTGTTGCAGCATGACTATGTCCCCTATGCACAAACCATCTCCATAAAGACATAGATTAATTAGGTTGGTGTGAAGAAACTCAAGTGTCCGGCACAGAGCCCTGACCTCAACCCTACTGAACACGCTTGGGATGAAATAAAATGATGATTGTGAGCCTGGTGTTCTTATCCAACATAAGTACTTGACCTCACAAATGATCTTTTGACTGAATGGGCACAAATTCACTATGGACAGTATCTTGTGGGAAGCCACAAGGTGTTTTTTTTCAGATGTCCCACAAGCTCATGTAGGTGTGATGGTCATGGTCCTCAAACCTTTGGCCATATTGTGTATCTCTCAAAGACTCTTGCAGTGTTGAATCCTGCCTAAGTTCCCTCGCTCCTTTGAGTCTCACTCCTTTTTTAGCATTGTCCGTAATTTGAGATAAAATGAAAAAACTGTAAGATTCTGTTGTAATAACTGTGGCCTGGTGAGAGGAGCTGGAAACGCAGAAGAAGAGGTCTTGTCACTGAAGTGCTTGAATGCTATAAATAGGTGATGAGTCATTCAAACTGTCAGTCGAAACCAAAGAAGTGAATAACTAGTTTTAGAAGGATTGAATCTCTAATATATTGTTTCTTAACATTATTAAAATGTGTATCGCTTCATAAAAGCCAGCGTTCACCACATACACACAAGCTTGGGTCACTTTATCCAGGTACCCCTTGACATTTAGATATTTATTAACCGCATACGTCCTATGTGTTGTTTGCATTTTCTCATTTGATACAACTCTGAACCGTCACCATTATGATGCATAAAAATGCATTTTACTTGGCATCCTATCTTTCACAATAGCCCGTACAGCAGCCAAAGGAGACAGCTGAGCCGAACGCATGTGCTTTGGCTCGGCTCTGCCTGAAGGACTCCCCGCAAATTGTTAAAAAATAGGATAATTTAAAAACAATGTTGCGGATTCCCCCTCTTAAATCATAGACCCTTTAGGTCGGGTAGGAATGTTAGGGGGGACCCTGAAGTAAAAAATATGTGTGGGGGCCTGGGTAAAAATGGTGGGGGGGGCCGGGGGGGGAAGTGCCCCCCCCCCCCCACCTTCAGAGAGGCCAGGCCATATGCCCTCGGCATTGGGAGGGTGCTTTTTCAGGGGGGACCCATGGAAAAGCACCTTTTCCCCATGCCAATGCGGACAAGGGCCTCTTCCCAACAACCTTGCCCAGTGGTTGTGGGGGTTAGCGGGCCGGGGGGCTCATCTGCATCTGGGTACCCCCTTTCATAAAACCCCCCACCCTCGTGAATGAGTAAGGGATAGTTGTTACCCCTACTCCTTCACCAAAGGGTTAAGTAAAAAATAAATAAACAGACAACACCTTAGAAAAAAATCCTTTAATTGAACAATAAACACAAAAACAGTTTTTGACAGTTTAATAATTGATAATCATTCGCCTTCGGCAGTTTAGTAAATAACCCCCTTAGCGTTCCTTCAGAATGCCCCAAGACTCCTGTGTTTGAAATTTACAACAGCATATTACTGACATTCTACTGTTGTCTTTTGAGCTGTAGATGGCGTTGTAGTGCAATGCTAGTCTATGCTGGTTTTCTATATGCATGCTTATATCTATGATATATACAGTGCTTCATCTAAACACATAACTAACATCCTGAACACCCCAGTGCTCAAAAGTTCTTCAAGATCATGGTGATAGGCAGTTTCATTGGCCAATAGTGAGATACAGAAAATAAAGAGATGGAACCACATGACCATAAGAACTGGTCATAATTTGTATACCAGGGAATCTTGTGCTTTAGGGCTTCCGAGCACTCAAGGAATACATTGATCTGACCTGCAGGAACCTTTAGGTTTCTGCTGTGACAACGAGCTACACTGTGTGTAGTTTATTGTCCTCTCAGATAAAAAAAATGCTGACAGACAGGTAGAATCATTTATGAGAGAAGAGACACACAGGGGCTGATCTATAAAGGCTTCGCCCAGCATATAGCTAGGTAAATGCCATTCATTCCACATTACAGCCAATAGACGGCGCCAAGCGGCATTTAAAAAAAAAAGTTAGTTCTACTTTAAAGAACAGACTTCTGTGTTTAAAATGAAAGGAGTTGTAAAGTTCCAGCATATCCTCCCCTGTTGTGACATCAGCATTGTAATAGGAATACATATTGTGGTTGTTTTTGATAATGCAATCAAAGCTTACTTGAAAAAAATAAATCCCTTTTTATGTAGTGAGTGCTGCCTTCCATCTGCCCATCACTTCCATCAACCTTCTGGATTCCCAGTGTGCTTTACGTCTCTTGATGTGATGCAATTTCTCAAGACTACATAACCCATCATGCATTGCTTCCAGCAAGCAATGATAATGTTACATTGTTTAGATGTTAGGTTGTGGTTCAGAAGGCAAGCTCTGTGAGTGTGGAAGTGAAATGGTGTTGGTGCATTGAGGAAATCCATCCTATGGGCATCTTCAATAAGTAAGTCTACAATCTTCTAGATGGATCTGGTTATTAGGATTGGGATTATTATTATTAGTGTACAGGATTTATATAGCGCCAACAGTTTGCACAGCGCTTCACAATATAAGGAACACATTACAATCACAATACAATTCAAGACAAGATGGAAAGGAGGGCCCTGCCCCTGAGGGCTTACATTCTAAATGGGAGGGAGAAGTGATACATGAGGAGGTAGCTGTGTGGGGATGAATTGTTTGAGAACGTGATGGGATAGAATTTATAGAAATTAAATCTAGAAATATAGATTTAGTTTTAGTTTTTGACCATAGATACCCTTTAAGGGTCCATTCTTTTCCCTAGGTAACCAAAGAGAAAGATATCGGGATCTCGGATTCTTTCACCAAGAAGCCACTCCACTAGCATCTACTTCTGGGTCTGGAACTTTTTGTTTTTATATTCAAGTAGTTTTGAGTCAATCATTGGTAGGATTACCAAGTTAAAGAGAAAAGAGTGTATACAATGTATTTCCTGCTATTCGCACATAGTTGAACCCTGGCAAGAGTCATGTCCACATATATCTCAGCAATGCAAATTCCCCAGGACCGTGCCATCGCCCTATCATCGCAGCTTCGCCACTTACGTCAATGTCCTAACTCGCTAACCAAACTGCAAAAGTGCAAACTAATCTGTGTACGATCGGTGTTAATTAGAGGTCCTCTAGCTAAATGTGAAAACTAGCTAGTCTAACAAGTCACAACGGGGTTCTGATTCCGAGTTGAATAATTGCCTTGTCGTACTCCCCGCCGCGCTCAATATTAAGCGAAAATAACCGCCGATGCCTTTGCACTCCCCAACCTTCCCCCCCCTCCGGCCGACGTGTCTCCACCTATTTAAATAATTCCACTTGGTTTGGGGACTCCAGACCTTTATAAATTAACAGCGGGAAAATACCAAAGGTGTCAGCTTGCATATGTATTATCTTTTTTGTGTAATGCTTAAATATGTATTATGGAATGACTGACATAAATTAGGCAGATTTCAGAATCCGCAGGCTGTGGCTTGCGAAGGACCCCTTGCTGTCTGACATTTCATCCTTGTCAAAGATCAAATTATTTTAATTTAGGCTGTAAATTATAAGGAATGAAGTCTTCTTTGTTGGAATTCCCTGTGGTAATCTGACTTTTGTTGTTACTGCTGCTTGTCAGTGTGCAAAAAATATTATATGCATGCAAATGAGCTTGGAAAAGGTGTACTATCTAATTATCCATCCAGTGCCTTCCACTTGAACCCAGTGGGTAGTCTGACACGCAGTATGTGTTTGATTCATAGAGGCCTGCAGGGTATTTACACAAGATTACTTTTAATTATGAAATTAATATCTTTTTATCTGAAATGTATAGAAGCCGGCACAGCCATGACCAGAATTTTTATCAAACTCCGTTTTGCAGTAAAGGCTAAATAAAAATAGAGTGTTAAATAAAGAGATTAAAGGGACCCTGTCATCAACTGAACAAAAAGGCAGGTAAAAGCACAGAAAGATCAAAACATTTGAATAGCATTTTTTCCTTCTTATAAAACATTTTTTTATTTACTTTGAAATGTACCTTTGAATGTGCTAGGGCAGGGGTGCCCATTAGGTAGATCGTGATCTACCCGTAGCTGTCAAAGCTGATGCTGGTAGATCACGAAGGGTGTGAATGGCGGCCCCTTTTTGTCCATTTTGTTATATTTATTTAGCTGTGCACAGATTATTACCTATTAGCCTGAATCTGCTGAGCCGAGCTCCCTGACACCTTTCTGGTGGTTGAAGTGCTATGTATTACATCAAAGAATATTAGTTTACACAGCCTGTTGCAAAATACAGCAAGGTGAGCCAGGAGAGAGAGCGGGGAGAGAGAGCCAGGAAAGAGAGCAAGGAGAGAGAGCCAGGAAAGAGAGAGAGGAGAGACAGCCAGGGAAGAGAGCAAGGAGAGACAGCCAAGAGAGCAAGGAGAGACAGCCAAGAGAGCAAAGAGAGACAGCCAGGATAGAAAACAAGGAATGACAGCCAGGAGAGAGAGACCAGACAGCCAGCAGGATGAGCAAAGAGAGACAGCCAGGAGAGAGAGCAAGGAGAGACAGCAAAGAGAGACAGCCAGGAGAGAAAACAAGGAATTACAGCCAGGAGTGAGAGAGCAGACAGCCAGCAGTATGAGCAAGGAGAGACAGCCAGGAGAGCGAGAAGAGACAGCCAGGAGAGAGAGAGCGAGGGAGATGTTTGTTTTCATTGGTAGATCTCATGTAGATTGTCATTTGAAGAGTAGATCTTAGCACAAAAAATTGTGGGCACCCCTGTGCTAGGGGATTCGACCATTCCAGGAAGAGTCAATCCCTAGCATAGCCCCCTCCCTCCTGCCATGTCGTGGGCCTCTCCTCTTCTGGGAGTGTCTAATTACTCTGTGCTGACCTAGCTCCTCCAACCCCATTCAACCATGTTACGCTTGAAACAGGGAAAGTTTTTCTTAACCCTTGCAATGGGGCTACCCCCCACACCGCCAGTTATTATTATTATACAGAATCTATATAGCACCATGTCTTTATGGACCTTTCTTTGGGCAACAGTCATGCTAGAACATAAAAGGGCCTTCTCCAAACTGTTGTCATAAGGTTGGACGTGCACCATTGTTTAAAATGTCTTGGTATATTGTAGTATTTACAGTACCTTCACCTGAAAGCCATCATTTAGAATGGGGTCTACATACTTTTGGCCATATAGAACATAGGCCAGGTTATTTTTTTTAGAAGGCTCCTGCTTCTTGCACTTTTTCTTACACACAATGCCTATTAAAAAATTCTTATCTCCGTCCTCGTACATAACGGCTGAATTTGGCGATTTCTCCTGAGCCCTCTTTCAAGTGTTTACACAAATCTTATATCAAAGAGAATGATTCCTCTGATCTATATGTTTTTTTAACTGGTCTGAAATAGCAATTGGAGGTGTGATCAAGCTTTCAAACTACCATCAACACTACTAATGTATTGGCAGATTGAGGAAGTGGCCATTTCTCCTCGTTGAACTGAACATCGTTGGTCATTTCCTTAAATGCATTTCTAACTCTCTCAATCCTTCCTGCCGCTTTGATTACTACAATCTTCAGGTCTATATATAACCTGTTGGCTGCAGAGGTGTGCCTCTATATCTTTATATCATTTAACCCCATATGGTTTCATTTCAATATTTTACTCAAACACTTGTAAGAGGGAGCACAGTGGTCACCATTCGACGATTGCACTGGCACTGTGAGCACTGAAGTAACACCATTTGTGGATGTAATGCATTGCTTAGGTTTCATGTCGCAGGATTCATTCACATTGCTGAATGTACAAGTTAGTAACAAAGCTAATTTAGTCACTATAGTTTTGTATTATTAGGTGTATTTTGTGGTTATTTTTACTGCTGCACTTTTTGTAGTATTTATATTAATATTGTATTTGCCTACATGTAGTTTTAGATGAACTCCAGCTATATAAAAAGATATATAAAGGACACAAATGACTGCAGCTCTGTATTCATTGATATATAATAAGGTCCCATTCACACTGAATCTGTTAGTATCCCGCTTTCCATGGATCTCAACGGATGCCTATAGAAGGTAATACAAAAAATGTATGGGTGTGAATGGGACCAATTCACACCGCTGCAATCTGTTTTGTTCCTTTGCAGTGCGATGAAAAAAAAAAGTAGAGCATGCTCTCCTTTTTTTTCCATTGCACCGTAATGCAACGCATCAAAAACGGATGTCAACTCAACCAAAGGAACAGAAGTTAAAAATAAAAACCAATACATAGATGTTTGTCTAATCAGGACATGTTATATGAAATAAAGATTGGCAAAAAAAAAGAAAAGAAATGGAACGGAAGACAATGGACCTCCATTGATTTACATTTTCGGTCCAATTTTGAATGTATTTTTTAATGAAAGCAGTATAATTACCTGAATTAGGCTTGGAATCCTCCTGCTGTCCCTGTACAGAAGAGCTCAAACTGGGAGAGTTAAAAGAGCATCAAGACGTACTGCATGCTGATTGAAGGCGATAGCAGAATAACAGATGAGCAAGAAAGGTCTGTTATGTTATAGAGAACCCATTGGGCAATGTGGTCAGACTCTTTAAGAGTTTGCTTGTTTAAAAGCTGCAGTCTCTGTGGCTGCCATCTAATTCTGTGACCAGAGTTGAGTTCTAAGTTCATTCAGGAGCTCCTTGTTTTTAGGAGATTGTTTAAAAGTAAAGCTTACAGTGTTCCTTATGTATTGAGAAAGCAATTGCAATACAGGACAGGAGACTGTATAACTGTACAAGACTGAAGGGAAGGTTGGCGTTCAGCTTTAAGATTTAAAAGCGAGTTTAGCAATGGTGGCTTCCATACCAATGGCATTCCTCTATCCGTGCGACCGATCCCCTGGAGCCTCGTGCATGCTGACATTTTCAAGTACACTGCAGGGCCAATAGGATGGAGAGGGCTTGCCAACAACCAAAAAGCATTGGAGTCAAGAGGAGAGCACCAGAGTCTGCCAGAATGAGGAATAATGCATGGATCACACCTCAGCCTTCTGCCTGCAGACTTTATGAGCATTTTTACCAAGTCCCCATATGCGCTCCCAAAACCATGTAAAAATCATTTTGGCATACAAAATGGTACAAAAGATTGTTGAGTAAACAGTTGGCAAAACTTCTAAATTTCATCACAAAGCTATTGATTACCTCTGAAAATAAAAGGGTTGAAGATTCCTCATTATAGTAAAATGTTGGGGGGAGGTGGTTGTGGTGGTAGTGGTCTGATGAATGAGTGTTTAAAAATGTTGAAAGCATGGTGAGGAGCGGAATAAGGGTCACTGAATTTTATGGTATGTTTGTATTAATGACCCCTGCAATTGACTTTAGGCAATTACCATATTTTAGGCATAATTTGCCTTTAAAATGTTATTTGGCATTTTTTAATGATTTTTTTTTTTTTCTACAGTGTGATGGCATTCAGATGGACCTGGGCAACATCTCCCTTGAAGGCATTGCTCTTCTCAACATTCCGAGCATGCATGGCGGCTCAAATCTTTGGGGGGAGACCAAGAAAAGGCGGAGTAATCGAAGGTTAGAGAAGAAGAATCTTGACAAAAGGACCACAGTCACTGATGTGAAAGAGCTGAAATTTTCAGCACAAGGTACAGTAATTCCGCAAGCACCAGAATGTATGCACAGTCATAGGAATTGTGTTATCACAGCTACTGTGATGCTTTGTGAATAAGGTAACCTGGTCATACATAGCGAGAAACCCTCGGTGGCCTCTCATGCATTGTCCTGGAAAGCTGTGTACTTGCCAAGACAGGGCACATACCAGGTCATAGCTGGTTACCTGTAGCTGCTTTTTTATACTGTAGGCTAAAAAAATCCCATTGTTGTACATCATTAACCAATCATTCCTTTTTATGGAGAAAAGAGAACAATGTAATTTTGCATCTACTACTTATGTGTATTGATCAAGAAGTCATGGAGAACATCAAGGATGGTACCAGCAACAAGGCCATTCAATCAAGGACGACAAAATGTGAGGGTTTAGTCCGACCCTGTGGCTGCAGGGGCAATGAAATCTCTACCAAGAGATTTAACCACTTGTTGATATTTTATCTTCTAAACAGCTTATTGATGTTAGTGTGCTACACCAATACCACTATAAATGGGGGAGGGGATTGCGGGGACAGTCACATGTTATTGGCACTATGTTATCATACACTAACTAGAGTTCAGCTTTAAAAGATAAGTGCGGGGAGAGACAAAACATATGCTTCCTACTACTTAGAGCCGGTGTGGGACACTGCAGCTGTAACTGCTGATTGGTCCGCTCTCGGTCACTGCTCCCTGTAGGTTTGTCCCTCTTTGTCCTCTCTGCTTCTCCAGTGCTAACTAAAATTACAGACATGTGTCTGATTGGTCAGCTTTTGGTTGTTGATCCCATTGGAAAACAGTGACTATTAGTCGTAGCTCACCATAGGGTTTCCTTCTCTCCTATCTCTGCTTCTCCAGCGCTAACTGGAGCTACAGACAGAGGTCTGATTGGTCCGCTCTTGGTCACTGCTCCCAGCAGAGATCAGTGACTGTCACTTATTGCTCCCTGTAGGGTTGTCCCTCTCTCCCATCTCTGCTTCTCCAGTGCTAACTAAAATTACAGACAGGGGTCTGATTGGTCAGCTTTTGGTTGCTGCTCCCTTTGGAGAGCAGTCACTGTCAGTCACAGCTTCCTGCAGGATTGTCCCTCTCTACCCTCTCTGCTTCTCCAGTGCAAACTGGAGCTACACACCGTTGACCGTAGGGTTATCTCCCTCTCCCCTCTCTGCTTTTTTAGTGCTCACGGGAGCTACAGACAGGGGTCTGATCGGTCAGCTCTTGGTTCCTCTCCCCTCTCTGCTTCTTCAGTGCTTACTGGAGCTGCAGACTGGGAAGGGACTGGTGCAGATGGCTCTGATGCTCAACCATGCACAAGAGAGAGGGGATAGTTAGGCACTCGGGGTGGAACCCGACAAGATATTGTTGGGATTCTTCTTGGCTGTGTTTTTTTTTAACCTTTTTAGCTGTTTCTTTGAAAAAATATTATACATAGGACTTTACAGGCAGCATCTAGTGGTTAGAATAAAAGCCAGTGAGAGGATAAGGGACTATCTGAGGGACAGTTTAAAAAAAAAAAAGTTCATTAATATACAATGTCTTCAGGTCTTTAACTCTTTGTTAGGACAGAGAGTTTAGAAGTGATAATAGTTTGTGAGAACTAAGCAGGATTTTCCAGCCCCAGATTTTGCAGAAACATCATCAAAAAATATGTTTCTTGAAGTTATGCTATGTGGATGAGAAAATGTAACAAAATTACAGTAGATGTCATCCCAATTCAGCTGCCAAAGTAAAAATACAAAGTGACCTGTTTTGCTACCAATTACCTACCTTAAAATTGTTTTGCATGCAGCCTGCTTTTGCAGCACTTTAATAAATGTAGCCGTTTGTGACAAAAAAAAAAGAAAAACGACAAATTTTCTAGTTATTTAATTGTATTATTTTACAGACTTTTTGATTTGTGATATAATAATGCCTTATTCGATAGCAATTTTGAGGAACTATTCTTTATTTTAAATTCAGGGTATTTATATGCTTTGCTGAGGTCTTCGGGTCAACAGGGAATTATCTCTTCATTGTTTAACAGAAAATTCCCTGATTAGAGACTGTAAGAACCCATTCTGTGCACAATAACACTCAGAGACTAGAGATTTGAACAGCACATCCATCGACACGGGGGATAGAATGTAACGTCTGATTGCGTTTTGGAAAGGGGATCAGTCTGAGACTTTGCCAAACCTTCTATTTTGGTCTGGTGCCTCCATTGCCTCTTCAAATATCCGAGGTTATCGAAATGTAACTTAAAATGGACACTTTAAAGAAGATGTAAAACCCCAAAACTAACATCTCCTATAAGCTTTAACATGTTTATGTAATTTCAAAAGTTGTTTCCAATATTTTCAAATTGTCAGATTTCATTTTTCTTAAAGTAATTCCTGGTGATCCTGACATGAGGGTCCTTGGTTAGGTACTTCCTTTTATAGGGTGACAACGTTCTATCCCCACTGTCTACCAATAGTGTGCCTGTGTTATCACAGTGTCACACTACCTTCTCACAGTGTCACCTCTCAGTGGCCATAGCTAACATTTTGTCCCTGAAGTTGATGTGTTGGAAGCAGAAAAAATGGACAAGCTTAATTATTTGAGCGACTTTATCAAGGGCCAAAGTGGGATGGCTAGACAACTGAGTTAGAGCAACTCCAAAACTGCAGCTCTTGTGGGATGTTCCCAGTCTGCAGTGTTCAGGACCTACCAAAAGTGGTCCAAGGAAGGAAAGCTGAGAAACCAGCAACAGGGTCATGGGTGACCAAGGCTCATTGATGTGTGTGGGGAGCGTAGGCAGTCCCGTGTAGTCCGATTCAATAGAATAACTACTGTAGCTCAAATGGTTTGGTGCCAGGAACCACAGAAGTCTAGTGGAATCCATGCCTCAATGGGTCAGGGCTGTTTTGGCAGCAAAAGGGAACCTACTCAATATTAAGAGGGTGGTCATAATGTTATGGCTGACTGGTGTAAGTGCACTTTCAAAACACAATATCATATACATAATGGTCCACTGTGTCACCATCAGGAAACCTACTCACAAAAATGCCATGCAGCCATCACTGGAGTGGATCATATTTAATGTCATTAAGTTAGGGTTTATATCTACTTTAAACAGGTAACATGTAATGACTTCCTAGTGGCTGATTGGTTCCCCTGTTACGCCTCCTCTTCGCACCTTGCGATACACAACCATGGCTGATCACCTCTAATATGTAAAGTGCAAGAGACAACACAGCACCAAACCACAGTTCAGTAGGATACCCAGATGTTATTAAAATGTTTTTTAAATGTAGTCCATAGCCAACACAGTTCAGGAGTTGCACATATTCCCACTGTAAACCTTTAAAACCTGTTGGCTATCAACTTCCAGAACCTCATATTCGCATCTGAAGATCCTATTAAACATTTTTAATGTTTAATGAACATATACCGAACCCGGTATATGTTCGCTCACCTCCCGATCTACTGAGCCGACCTGTGACAGTCTCATTGTCACAGGTCAGCTAGAACTATGAGGTGAGTGGAAATCACTCATCTCATAGTTCTCCTTTAAAGGTTTCATGGAGGGCCATTTAATTGTATCGCTATTAAAGCCCAATGAATACAGAGGAATTAGATAAGGAGACATTGGTCTAGCAACCTCTATTTTTATAGTCTTACCTCTACTTTCCTGTGGCAGCAGCTGTGTCAGTTGTTTTAAAAAGGACTGCAAAGTTAGACCTAGTGCGCTCAGCTAGCAGCACTTAGTAACAGACCTGGTTGGACACACCCCCTCCTCCTCTGCAATACAAGTCTGTGTGAGGGGTGTGGCTGTTACTCAGCTCTGAGAGCACACAGAAAAACCTTTGGTTGAGAAACAGCCACAGATGCCACACCGACTAGAGGTTAAAGGTTCTCATTCTTTCCACTCTATCCAAACCCCCCCCCCCAAAAAAAAAGGTTTTGGCCGGAGTTCCATTATAAATGAGACACAGAAACTGATCTATACAACAAAGAAAGAAAAACATAGTTATGTAAGATTTTTTTATAACAATAAAAACAAATGATTATTGCCATGGCTTTTTGGAAACTGCTCCAGTTTTGAGATATTGTCATTGACATAAACGCTGTTGTCACCTTTGTGACAACGATTGAGACACTTACCTTAAGAGATGAAAATAGCATTACCCCCTGTAATGGCGTGTTCTCTGCGGAATTTGTTTTGGCATTTAAAGACACTAATGCACCTGCAGATGAAATGTTCTCGTCAATGGATGACATCTGGATTGAAGACTAAAGAGTCGTATGTCATCTAGCATACTGTAGCAGGGGACATGGCGGGTATGAAAGCGCTTGGGACGTCTAGAAGCTTCTGCGCAGTTTGAAGTCACATGTTTTCATATCAGCTTTGGGGGAAGTTATTTCTTGCCGACTCAGACTGGTGTAAAGTGTGATTTATGCAACAACCATAGGGTGTGTGAGCATTGCGTAATATTGAAATGAACTCAATACACGCAGTTGGCTGCAGATATGTTTTGCGGTAGGAGATGACCGAACTTTAATGTTCACTGCATGCGATCCGCCCAATCTTCTTTCACAATCTGTTCTTGCAGGTTTTTCTCCCTGCAAGATATATATATATATATATGTGTGAGATATAGAGATATAGTGGGCTTCCAATAGCCCAAAGGATACAATTCAAAATATTAA